GGGATGCTTGGACCACTCTAGAAGTTCATCATGAAAAATGCAATCATAGGAGAAAGTTACCTGTGAGCTTACAGCATTAGCAGTATTATCCTTCTGAATAACCAATAATTAACTATAAGCCACGATTGGAAAAAATAGAAGATGAAACAAAAAGGAACAAAATGCTTTCACGCATACCTCCAGAACAGGACCCGAATATTTACCAGAAAGCAAACCATGAGCCAGCTTTGTTCTGCCAAAATACAGCTCACCCGTCAACAAGTTGAGTGTGCAAGCAAAATTCATAACAATAGCTGCTATAATGAAATATCTACCAAATACGAAAAATGAAGCATGGAAAGACTCTCTACAGGGATCATTATTTATACTAAACAACTATGCCTCGATTCCAAAGTAGTTGTGTCAGCTATACAAGTTATCAACTAGGGATTGGTCTGTATTTGGACCAGAAAATTCAGTTAACTGTAGGACTCTTAACATGAAAAGTATCGTACAGCCTGAATTGCAGTTACAGGGTATTGAATAAAATCTGCTAGATGCCCTCCTGATAAAAAAGACCTTAAAAAAGAAAAGAATAAAAGGGAAAGAAGGTTGGGGGTTGGTATCATTCATTCAAGCAAATATGATTTGCTGAATATGAATATTTTCTCAAAATTATTTATTAGAAAACCCCAACAGAACAATTCAGTTTCAAAATGCATAAAGTGTGTGCAGTGACTAGCTTCCTGTAACAATGAGAGACGTAAGCACAACTCAGTATCAAACATGCCATGTTTTGTTAAACAGAGTATTTTTGCTGCAGCAGAGTGCGCAACTAATGGAATAACTAGTTGATAAATAAGCAATGAAAATGGTAAACTGGTAAATGAACAGATCCAAGTTACTTACAGCTGCATGTTAAGGTCTACAGTCGGATCAGCAGGAGCCGTAGTAAATGCTTCTTTCAGACGTTGATCCAAGTAGTATCTGACAAGGATATCACATCAGATGGTAAGATGTAAAAAGAAGGAAATCCAACACCATTTTAACTTAAATGACATTTTTCTTCAATTAATAAACATCAAATACATTTATCACAAGTATAATTATCTTACCTTGAACAAAATGAACGTGTTGAGAACATAACCTGCATTGTAGCAGCCAAATAGCAACTGCAAGAATGATATATGAGACCAGAGAATTTCATATGTTTCTTTCAACAAATGAAGATAGGAAATGCTATGTTGCCTAAGCAGCAGTAATAAAAGGTTACCCGCACCTGTTACCAAGATTGACTAATCCAGTGTAACCAGGTCCAAAAAGTGGTTCAACATCCTCACCAGTCTCTTGAATCCGGTTCCAATCAAAGTTAAAATTTTGGTCTAGTTCTCTCTCAGCAGTCGTCATTTCAGTCTGGGAAAGCAAAAAAGGATTAGTCATAATAGTAGGATGAGAAGTAACGATGGGACTACGACTGTATTATTGGTTTTCCATAAGAAATATTGAATAAGTGATAGCTCAATCACCTCAAATGACAATGATCACAAAGTAATGTGACCCGTTAAAGGATAATTTAAGTTAAATTTACATGGTATGAACTACTGATAAGAGAGAGCAATCACAGAAAATATAAGGAGTAAAAAAGAGTAATCATCAATAGGCAAGAGAATGTCATTGTCTCAGTTGGCATCTTGCTCAGATTTGGGATGAGCAAATCCAGGTGAAAGGCTCAAAAAATTGAGCTTACTCAAAGGTCTGACTATTTTCCATAAGAAATATAGCAGAATCGAGAATAAACATGTAACATTTCGTTAGTCTTTATCCATGTACATCAAGCATACTTCTTCTTACAAGAGCAAATCTAAGTAAATACTCAATGTCATCTATTCAGCTACTAACCTTTTGCAAGGATGAGAAATCAATACCAAAATGTGCCAGATGATGAGCTAAAAGTGGGTCAACAACACTTTCATCCTCTGGATAGGAGTAAACATCTGAACTGCCAAAGTTTGCAACCAATTAGTAATCATTCAAGAAAAAAACACTATGAGAACTTATAAACAAGGTGCTATCACCAATGTAGTAACCCGTCCAGCTAATTCCCATTACATGGACACATTCCCTACCCATTCATTTGCAAAGCTAATGCACCCGTGGTGGGTGGCTGGGCCACACTCCATTACCAGGATCGTTAACTTTATAATACTGCATGGCACATCTAAAGCACTTGTACAGGGCAGGTAATACCAATTCCATGGTGATGGAAGTTAGATATCCACCTAATACTTAAGACAGAAAAAGTTGATTGTTCTTTAGATTCTTTCTTTGTTTTGGGTTGAATGTTGGTGGTTAGAAAGTCCACAATTTTGGGAACTTCCACCTTACACCAAACTGGAAGTCCCTAAATTGAAATCAAAACCATCTCACTTCCAGAATGACAAAATTTAAACAGTTCAGCAAGCTGTTAAATTCAAACCCAATAACTAATACCTTCATTTGACTATAGGCTAACTAGAAAGATATCACTAAAGGCATTGTCATACTTTGAGCACAACACAAGTCTTCAAAGCTCTCTTACTTTGAATCGCGATTGCAAGAAAGACTAAGCTTTGTTGACCAAACAACCACAAAGTAACATCAATCACAAATCATAAACCAAGCAGCTTTGCAGTTAAAACAATAGCAGTACTTGTAGATGAACTGGGAACACTCGAAAATCAAAAGAAACAAGATATGCAGATGTTGTTCTCATGATCAACCAAAACAAAAAAGAAGATCTACAAAGCAATTCCGTCAATGAAAAAAAAAAAGTAAGACTCAAGAAGCAACTCTGGTCAACCAAAACAAAAAGAAGAGCTAAGCAGCAAATCCAGTCAACGAAAAACTGGAGGCAGCAACAATTCTTTTGTAAACATTTTCTGAGCATAAAGATTCAACTTTTAAGATGGCATTACCTGCCCCCTCCAAATCGGCAGTTACAGTCCCAAGCTTTACAGCAAGTGGATAACCAGTTTCTTTGTAATGGTTAACAGCATGGTCATTACCACCAGTTCCATCCCAATTTTTCCTACCACATAGGATAGTTCCATCAGTTAGATTCAGCCAAAGATTGTCAGTCTTATCACATTTTGCACATTTCCAGCCCACGGGTGGAACAGCAACACCATTGTCAAGCTGTTGCAGATCCGTAGCATATTTACTGACAAGCTTCTTGTCAGCAGTCCAGGAAGCAAGTTGCTCTTTTCTCTCAGCACCTTCAGCTAGTAAAATAGCATCAACAGCCAATCTAACCTGCAAATTTGTGATGAACATAAACAATATTTAAATGTTTCATTTTACTCTAAACAAAGGGAACCTGTGAAAGGATATTAAAAGAGTAAATTTACCTTCTCAGGCAATTCCACCGATGGGAAAGGAAGAGTGACATTATCAGGCAATATAACTATTTCATAGAATTCTTCGTACTGGGGTTCACTGTTGTCAAACCCTCCGTCTAGACCTAGAAGGAGAAAGGCATAATCCAAGTCAATCTATCAACTAAGCTTCAACCTCGAATTAATAAGAGTAGGCTTAACTCTGTCAAATGATAAATATCAGAAAATGCAAACTTATATGGCTCTTTATTCTTCATTTTTTCTTTTTCAGCCTAGTTTTGGAAGCTTTTAGCTATACTAGATTTGAAATATTTAAGTACCTATAGCCAAGAGAGTGGGTTTTTTGGACGGTCTATCTTCAGCATCTGCCTTCTTTGTCTGCTTTATATGCAAATAAACTGGGTTCCCAGTCTTCTCATAGTTCCAATCAACATAATCCCTTCCAAATGCAAGAAAAGCACTCATATCAACAAACAGCCCGCCCTCAGATTTCTGGAAAAACAGCAAAGAAAATGTTACTAATTGTAGCTAAATCAATAGCAACTGCTTCATAAGTGAAGATATATTTCCTAAATGAGCATTAGTGAACACAGATGGAAAAGATCAAACTGATAAGCCAGCATCGGCATGGCATTTCATTAGGCTATACCACTACAACTACTACTAATATGTCAATCCCAGACTAGCTGGGGGATTGGCCATACGAATCCTCTATATCTATTCCACTATATTTTGAGTCTGTTCTACAACTTCATACACAAATCACTCGCAGTGCTAATCAACTGCAGGGCTCTACTTTAATCGGAGTGTGAGCCATAAACCAAGAATAAACTCTTAATATGCACTGACCTTACGAAAAATTGCACAAGGCTAAGAATTACAAGCTTGAAAATCGAGTGAGGACGACTTCTATTTAGTACTAGTCATGGACTATGTGTATGAATCTTCTATATCTATTTTGACTCCGTTCTACAACTTCATAGCAGCTTTAGAAAAACAAATCACTTGCAATACTACTAATCAATTGCAAGTCTCTAACCAAATCGGATTGAACTATAAACCCTAGCAGAAGCTCGTAAACCCTACCAGATTAACATACAACCATATGGCACAAGGGCAAGGATTACAGCCTTGAAAACTGTGGGAGACTACTCCAAGTAAACATCTACAATCGCAACAACTTCGAACAACCAAACATACGACAACTGAAGTAAAACTAGAGCGAAATGATTATTTCGAATTGGAATTGAAGATTACCGGAGTATCGAAAGAAATGCAGCACTCGTGCTTGTAGATACGAGTAGTTGGTTCTGGAATCCGAACACGGGAGAGGTTCGATCGGAGAAGCTCCATAGGGTTCTTCGTTATCTTCGCAAATAAATTCTTCTGTTAGAATCGCCGAGAGCTACAGGAAGAAGAGGAAGAAATGTGTGTATATTCGTATCGATTCTTTGCTCAAATGTTCAGCAACCGCCTTTCTCCCTAATTCCCAAATGAAGAAAGGAAGCTGAAGGGGTATATGGACTTTAGTTATGTATATGTACTTGTAGAAACCTACTAAGCTTTTGTGCGTTCTCACCAAGGGGTGGGTTCGGTATTTGTTTGATATTTTTAAAGTTCGATTTTCATAATTTGATAATCATAAGAAAATAGATATTGAATTAGTAGTTAGGTGGTTATTATTACATATAGAAGGATAAGATATTTACAGGATATCAAAATTATTCTTTAATGTTATCCATATTATATGATAAATAATTCAATTTAGGAATGAATGTGTTCTATATTTTTAAAGTTTGATTTTGATAATTAAAAATAGATATCAAATAAGAAACTTTAAAAGTTCAACATGATACGATAATCATAAATTGTTATGGTAATTAATATCTATTTAATTCGATGATTCGATTTTGGATAATTTACCCAAAGTGCTCTGCACCTATTAGCTTCAATTTAGACAAATCAAAATTGATTGAAATAGTACTTAGTTTAAGTTTTAGATGTGGAATTTAGATGAATTAATATGGGCCGAGTCAATAACAGGCTAGTTAACTTGGATGAGTTGAATGAATTATGTTATTTTGTTAATTGATTTTTAATCAATTAATTAATATGTAATCCTTGCATCTTATCAAAAATTTCCTCAAATGAAAGATTTTTTTTTTTGCATTGTTAGTAATTAAAAAAAATGGTTGCTTATCCTATGTTTGATACTCGTATGGCTAGTAATAAGTTCTCTTCATTTGCTTATAAAAGTTTCGTGATGAACTTGAAATACAAATGAGAATTTTTTTAAAAGAATTACTATTACATGACTAAAATTCAAGATACCTAATTTAAAATGGAGAAGTCCTTATTGTTTTATAACAGTACGTCATTGATGATGACCGATGAAAAACACTACATTATCAAGACAAAATTTAGAGTCAATTTGAAGGAAATGATTCGTATATGAGTACTTGAACTTTTTATTTGTTTATATGTCATAATCAAACAATTTCAATAATTGTATGGTTAGTAGAAAAAAACATTTTGATGATATATGAAAATGAGTGGAAGAACACAAAAAAACAATCATTGAGTAGATTATAATACAAACATTTCGATTTTAATATAACGTAAACCTTATTTTTCTATAAGCCATGAAAATTGTGTATACTTTGGTTTTCCTCTTTTTAAATTTTTTTTCTACATCGTTCCAATTTTGTCGGATATTTCAAAGGGAGCGCATATTAACTCTCTTTTTATCTGTCCTAAATTCGCGATATTTTTAGTCCAAAGACATTTTTGTCTTTCTATCCCCCTATCTCCTTCCTCCCTGCAAACGCCTATCTAATTCCATATATATTTTACACATTGGTTATGGGCAAATGGCAAAATTAGCAAAAAATCGAGGAAGGAGTAGGTTTTTTAATAGTTGTTATAAGTCCGTACCTTTCAACGATGATACTAGTATAATTAAATGGAATCATCTCTATAATTCAACAGATTTATCTAATTTGAAGAGAGTAAGATCACAAGAAAAATTGGATTCAATGTTGGGAAAAGATTTGACCAAAAAATTTCGACCAAATCGAAAGGAAAATGCCTTTGGCAGGAATTTATCTAATGCACTCAAAAATGTGTTTTCTGATACATCATTGGTAAGTTTAAGGGGAAAAAATTGACTAGAAAATGAAGATACTTATTGAGTATGTATGCATTTATTATATTCTTGCATTCTTCTTTTATCCATCATGATTGTATTTTATTCCAAAAGGAAAGTGACGCACGGTTCAGAACTCCATGAGTAATGATCTGCACTGTTTGAAACTCGATGAATAATCTATCTTCGGCTTCAAGTAATCATACATTCACCATTTTCCACTTAAATAGAAATATTTGTCCTTGATATGATTTGAACCTGTGACATGTGCCTAATCACACATCATGAATTGCGCCTATAACATGCGCCTAAACCACACATCATGCATTGCGCCTGTGACATGCGCTTAACTATACATAATGAAGCGTGTGGGCCCAATTAATCTTTGGAAAGGCCTTCCAGTTCTGTAGCTTCTTATGAACACAATAACTAGTTGTGTGACATCCGTGTAGGTACCCGACATTGGGCACTAGACCAAATTAAAAGATTTATCATTGTCACTTGATGAAACTTACAAATTGAATTGTTTTTGCAGGGGAAGAAAGGCCAGAGAAAAGAGGCTAAGTATTCATTTGGGTCATGTAAAAAGTTATCATCAAAATTTGAGAAAATATTTCATTCTACAAAGGAAAGAAAATCTTCTTCATCAAAGGATTTATCAAAAATTACTAATAGAATGTCCACAAGTGCAAGCATGGATGATTTTTCCTTATTCACTACTTCTACATCCTCTACATTTTCTTCTTCTTCTTCGTCTTCTTCTCGTTCATCTTGTTCATCACAGAGAACGCAATTCCCATCTTTTCACAGGTCAAAATCAGCGAACAATATGCAAGTTTATGACAATGTAAAAGAAAAAGAAATCGCACAACGTTACAACAAGAACGTTGGGACGTATTCTCTTTTAATTTGTCTATTGGTTATGGTTTTTTGTGGGAAAGTTTTTGCCATCATTTGCACTTCAACATGGTTTTATTTTGCTCCTCGTTGTTTCAAACGTATAGACTCAGATGAGTACAAGAAAAATGATCGATTGTTATATTTAGTACAAGAAAAAAATGTAACTTCATAGTTTATAGAGCTATTCTCCTATCCATTCTATCCTTTATTTTAAATTTTGCTTGTTGCCTTTTTTCTTCCCATTATAATGTCATGTAAGCCTGTGCAATTGCAATTGCCTTATTTGTCATATTGTAAGTTGTACAAAATGTTACAAAATGACATAAAAATAAAATAAAAATTGCATATGTGATACTTCTCAATCTTGTCATCTCAATTGACATACTTCACCGCCGCAGAGGTGAAGCCAAAATTTTAACTTTATAAATTCTGAATTTTATAATGATGATTTTAAGTATTAACAACTAAGTTCTAGACTTAATATTTGTACATATTAATAAATTTCTTAATATAAATACACTATTAAAATAAAGATTATTGGATTCCACCGAATTCATATCCAGACTTTTAGCTCCGCCCCTTTTTCACCCCTATTAAATTCTTTGGGTATTAGTGACTTTTGTTTTTTTCCAACATAAGTTGGACTCAATGTGGTACTAAAAGCCAATGCAAGAAAGAGAAAGATTTTGCAGATACAGATATAAATCTGAACTCAGATCATGTCTCTTTAGGTGGACAAAAATGAAACAGAGGAACCAATAGTGAACAAAACAAAAGGCTTGCGCCTTACTTTTCTATAAGTAGATAAACGGTTCAAGCAAGAACCGCAAGTACAAGGGCCACAACTTACTCTAATTTTTTTAAATCGCGATATTTGAATCAGCATACGTAGCTCGATTAGTTTCACACAAGATATCAGATGTAGACGCAAAGTAATAATGTTTCCATTGAACCACTAGGGAAAAAGCACAGCTTAACAACCCTTTTCTCTTCACTAGTATTTATGAAAGCCTGAAATGTATAGTGTAAATAAATAACACATGAATTTGTGTAACAATTTTTCTTACAGTGTCATGACCCAAGAATTGGACCTGTAGTTTTGTCCTAAATAGAAGAGAGAAAGAGTAAACACAAGTGGTCCAGGGTAGAAATACCTTCTTTGTCCTATTCAATTCAATTAACACCAACACTTATAATCTAAGTGGTACAACTGGAAATCTTTTGTACAATCGCTTTGAGTTTAATTTTTACTGTTCATAAAAATTGTCGTATTCATATTAGATTCTTCAAAAAAATGCAAACTGTATCACAATAACAAAGTTGATTCTTTCTGTTCCATCACATTTATTTTAGCATAGATAATTAATAATAAAATAATAAGTACATAATTGACTCAAACACCATACTATTCATGCTCGTCCATTTTGTGTCACCCTGAATGAAATGCCTAATAAATTGTAACCATTGGATATTTAATTAAAAATTAAAATACTTAAAGCCAAGCCATAATGATCATTGGTCATTTAACTTAATCAAATTAAGTTATTTTCCAACTAAAAAAAATGTAACAATCCGTACTCCCGAATACACAATATAGCACAACAGTAACAACAGACACCGTTGTAATCCTAGCGTAAAGAAAATAGTAAAATTATTTTTGATAGATCCTAAGCTTAATAGGGTTGCACTTTAATTTATTATTTTAATCGAGTTAAGTAGAAGTGCAACACATACTGGAATTAACCTTTTGTACAATTAGCATCTTTTAACTCAAAAAGCGTGAGTTACCAAAAGCAATATGGGGAAGAAGAAGAAGAGATGCTGCTAGTGTTTACTGATAGTAAAATAGATCTAGAGGCAGAATCAAAATTTCTTTCTCATGGCTTTCAATTAGTACACAGCGCCGTCCTGGCCAAAGTACTGTGTAGCTGTTTTGACAAATAAAAACTCACCACCACACAGCCAATTGAAGGACTGAGCTAGATGGATTGAGGCATCTGGATCAGCCAGCTTTCTAGATCTGCAGTAAAAACCTCATCATTTAACGGAAGAGAATCTGAGTCTCGAGACTCAGACCCGGCACCGGGACCACACACAGTCCATCCATGGTCCCCTCATACTCTATTATATCGTTCGTCTCAATTTATGTAATATAATTTAGCTGAATATGAAAAATATGAATGAACGTATGCTTTTGCCAAATAAACGAAATTTAATGTTAAATAAAATGTTGATAGTGTTATTAAATTCACCGATGGGTTTTGGCCCAATAGTGATTGAGTGGGTTGGTGCCTAGGTGGGTACTGGTAAGAGCAGTCACGGTGGATTTTGGAGCTTTCTCAGACACAAATCTCTTCCCCCTGCAAGGAAATGGTTTGGGAATTATTGGGATTTGTGCATATAACCCATATATGTCTCTTACGGAAAATGCACTTTTTTTAAATAAAAAAAATCATGTTAAATTGATTTAATTTTTTAAAAATATTTCTTTTAGGACAATAAAAAGGAAATTGAGATCGTGGTAATTAATATCTATCAATTGTAGAAGAGTTCTTCACCTTCTTTTATGGTATATAGGTTAACCATTATAAATCTATAAGATAGGGTCACTCTAAATACACGCATCTCAACACAAGTATAATGGAGTTAAATTTATAAAATGAAGGCATATTAGTACAGTACTTAACAAAAAGTTGCTAATATTTTTTTATTGCAGACTATTTATTAGCGTGACAAATTAGCAGATTTTAAAATAAATGACTTGCAAGGTACTTTGAAAGGTAGATAGGCATGTAGAACACAAGGACAGACATATTTTTTTTTTTGTTGTTTTAATATTCCACTAATATAACATGAAGAAAAATGAGTTGGCAATTTTGGCATTTCCATTTAGAAATAAAGAATCAACGACAATCCCTATAAAATAGCTTAATCTTACTCACAGTACGCTAGCTATTTTTGCCTTTCTTTTTTTGTCCTTCTCTTTTTAATAGTGTACCCACTACCCTACTCTTTTAATACCACCACTTGTTAGTAATTCATTTCTTGTATTTATCCTTGTCGTTAATAGAGTTTCAATGTGAAATAGGTAAATTTTACGTATCTAAATTTGTTGACCAAAAAAAGGATTGTATATACCTATCAATTTTTGAGTATATGGTCTAATTAAAATTACTTTCAAGATAAAGTCAAGAACGAAAATGAAATTATCTCCTAGTGCCGGAAGGAAATAGACCAACAAAGTTATGATGTGTGATATAAAATAACATTTACTATAAGAAAACAATTAGCGACGTACGAAATTTCATAGTTAAATAATAAAAAATTTATGCTAATTTTATTTAAATGTTGATTGACGATGAATTATGCAAAAAATTATTTAACTATAAGCTATTTAGCGACAAATTAACTAGAAATTACCGATAAATTTCATAATTAATTCCATATTATATAAGTTATTTTCACTTTCCATCACATACCAAATTACAAATGCAGTAAATAAGTGAAAACCATATATGTAATATTGATAGGGTAGAAACTTATTCACATCAAACTAATATATGAATGCCGTGTGTTTGACTATAGAGTTCATTCATTTAACCATAATAAATTATATTGATTCGATATAAATACTCGATGCAGATATATTTTTACTACATTAATTATATTTAAACCCTCGATATATATATATTGACGTGCAAGAAAAGAGAGTAGCTAAGGTCAATGTGTACATACAAAAAACACACCTTTCTTATTGTTGAGTATATATTATTTTTCTCATGTTGAAAAAAAAAATGTTGAAGCAATGGTTTGTTACTAATACAAGATAGATTTTTGGGTGTTTTTTTTCTTTCTAGGAGTATACACTTTTGGGTCTATGTATGCTATTTTTTCACCTTGAAAAAGAATATTTCTGCAATGATTTGTTACTAATTATGTAAGATATATATAGACTATAGTCATAGATTATATAGCTAGGGGGACCCCAATATATATAATTAAAAAACATATCCATAAGGTCTTTTTCTTAAACTGCATTTATTTGATATACTTGTTCTCAACTGACAATACACAATCATCTCTTTTGCTGTTTTAATAAAAGTAGTGTATGGAGAATTACAACTGTTTGTTTAGGTTCTTCACTACTTTTTAATTTTCTTTTTTCTTTACCTTAGTGGTTAGTTTGACTAATACTAGCATGTTTGATCGATTTGATATCTCAAGTTTATGAATTTTTATAGTAATTTTAAATTAATCTATGGTGGATAACTGATTTTAATAAACATTTTAATGCTTATATATAAGTAAACTTTTTTTGAATTATCGTGAATCCATAAAGTAAACTTTAGATTTACATCTAGTTTTCCTAGCTTCTAGGATATCAAAAAATGTTTGCTTTAGAAAATGAGTGTTTGGCTAAATTTTTAGAAGAAAAATAAAATAAATGCTCTTAACATAGTACATGTACCAAAAGATGTTTTTCAAAAGTTAAAAAATTTAGCTTTTAGATACAAATTGATTTTTTTTAAAAATATTTTAATAAATAAATAAATTTTGAAAGTTTGACATTAGAACTGTAAATTTATCCTTCAAAAGTTTTTAAAACTCTTTAATCATTTGAGGGACAAGAAACAATAATAATTCGTGTTGAATACTTGACTACTTTTAAATTCAATTTGCAATTTTCTTTGTAAGATTCTTTTAACGGAAAAAATAATTAAAGTTTCAAGAAATAATTATAACTAGTTTTGTCCAAAAGACTTTTTTTTGGTATGTATCACATCATTAAATCACATATTACTTTTCTGATTCTAATTAGAAACCAGGTTCAATAATTAGTGATCATAAATAGATAAATAAAACAATTTTAATTATATTATATACTTTCGGAGTAAAAAGTTTTTATACTGTTAGATCATCTTTTTATTTATTATAGCAGGTGTCATGTTTTCCTTTTTAAATATTACAAATCCCATTTAAGGGCTAACATAGTGATTTTTATACCGTTAATACATACCTTAATCAAACTCATAAATAAAAGATTTTAAATTTTATATATTATCAATGTAAATTACTTTTTACACCGTTAACAACAAAACACATATTTAGTAAAATGCTATAAGTCGGATTTGGGGAGAATATTGTGTACACATATTTTATCATTAGCTCGTGAAGATATTGAGGCTATTTCTGAAAAATCTTTAGACTCAAGAGCAGCAAATCCAAATATAAAAAACTCGAATGTAGACAACATAGCAACTAACAAATCATTCAAAACAATATCTACATATACCTCTAAATATGTGACATTTAAATAAAAATTATTACTAAAGTTTACGATGTATATTACTTAAATTAAAATAAAGAAACTTAAACCAGCAGAAATAACTGTTAATCTATATTGTACTACTATATATATCACTTTCCCAGTTCTGCTCAGAGTTAAAAATAAAAATAAAAACAAATTTTTTAAAAAAATTCACATATTATGTGTGTATAAAAGACAACAAGATCACTAACAGATAAAAACACCATAGCTAGCCAGACCATGTTCTATTGCATTTCTCATCTATAGTCTCTCTGGTGTTTTTTCTCTGCACCAAAAACACCTTTCTTACTGCCTCCTCCACCCCACCACCCCACTCCCACCAACTCACCAAATTTCAACTACTGTTCCATTGAAAATGGCTACTTCTCTTCAGTTTTCTTCAGATCATCACCCCATTCCTCAGGAAAATCATCAAACAATGAACCAGACCGCTACGGGAGGACGTAGAAGGTCGAGTAAAAATGGCCAGAAGAAGAAGAAACAACCACAAAGAGGCATGGGAGTTGAACAACTCGAACGTCTTCGAGTACAAGATCAGATCAAAAACAGTACTATCCATGCCGTTCATCATAATCAGTACTACTCTAATAACAATTTCCCTAATTTTACTCCTCTTTCATCATTTACCGGCGGTGGTAGTGCTAGTGCTAGTGCTGGTGTTGATCCTGGAATTTATAGTAATTCTATTTTGAACTCTTCACCAGTACTTCAGTTCCCCAAATTGTGTGCAGTGAGCCCTAATGATTTTTTTATGCAAGAAAAAGTTGTTAATACTGGGTTTATTGGATCTAGTAGTACAAATCAGTTGATGATTTCTTCTCATGATCATCATCAGTTTCAATCTCAAATGAATCTCTACGGATTTGCAACTTCTATGCCCAGTGCTGAGAAATCGAAGGAGCTGTATCCAATGCCAAATCTGTTTAGCAGCAACAACTCATGTTTCTCCGATCGGTGCCGATCATGCAACAAAGTATGAGTATATAAAATGCAAATTGTTCTCCTTCCATTTTTTTTCAAATTAAAGTTTAATTTAATTTATAATTTTGTAAATTTGTTCACATTTTCCTTCTTCGTTCTCATAAGAAGAAACGCATGATCAATGGAGAAGAAATTAGCATTCATACGGAGGACATGATCAGAGAAAAGGAAGATTCTGGAACAAAGCCTTTGCTTCACTCATACACTTTACCTAGCCATCTACAAAAGGTAAAATAAAATAAAATTGCAACTAGCTAGCCCTAATTTTTTCCAACAATTGTTCACTTCGAAAAACTGAAAACTAAGTGATTTGTAGGGCGCAGAGATTGTGGCAATTCATAGAAAGGGAAGTTCATCCGCGTTGTCATGGGACGAAGGAGCAGTAATGATGGAGTATGATTTTTTTCCAGAAAAAATCAGCAGCAAAAGCACTAATAATTACAAAAGTTGTTTCGAGAAAGAAGCAACGATGATGAGTGCTTATAATTCACCAGAATCTTCTTCATTTGCAGCAGCAGCAGCGGGAAATATTATTAATGGTGAAGTTTCTTCTGTTACTACAATATCTTGGGCTGCAGATACTACAACTACACCGACCAGTTCCATTGATCTTTCACTGAAGCTTTCTTGTTAGTTTTTTTTCTACAGAATCATTTGAAAAATATGGTTTAATTTTTCTGAGTTTTGTCTTTTCACACTTGTGTGAAAATTTATCTGATGAAAGACCCAAACACTACTTTATTTTTACCATTTTGGTTTGTCTGAATTAGCTAGTACTACTTGTTATTACTTCTCCAAAATGGAGCAATACATTTTCTGGGGTTTTATTGTATCTATATCTCTTTCTCTCTACTATTGGGATTTTGTGTCAGTGAGATGTAGATGCTTCACTATTTTTTTCCTACATCTTATATTTACTGTTATATATATATTTTGGGAGTTCATGATCAATTGTTTCAAATTATGTGAGACGGATTGAAAACAACAAACTATTCTATGCGGGACGGATTGAAAACAACAACCTAGATTAAAAAACTAGAAATCCAAACAATAAATCCTAGCTCCACTCATGGGTCGTGCCCAATAAAATTAGTTTAGATGTATAATAACGTAAGCTAGTCTGAAGATCACGATTATAATATAGTATAATAACTTATCCAAAACCTACCTTTTCTAGAATCTAAAATCTATAAACTCCTTCCTGTCTCTATGTCCTGATCTGTTGCAAGTCCAGTGGAAGCATAATCTACCAAAACCCTAGCAAGCTAGTATTTATTATGGTGGGGTGGGTGGGGGAGTGGGGGTGTAATTAAATAAGGGGGTAGGTAATTAATATATTTACAAAAGAGAGAGTTTGTATATTTCCTTAAAAGGGGTAGCCTCTAATTAAACCAAAAGGAATACAATTGAAGAGTATCTCTTTATGGGAGTCAAGCATAATATACTGATCAGATACTCAAAAAACCAAAAGAAAAAGTGCTTTATGGCAGTCTATAAGTGAGTATATATGTAAATTATTTTACTTTTCAATATTTCAAATTATTATTGAGATTCATAGTATTTAAAATTCATGGTCAAAATAATTATTTTTTTTATCTCTGATATCACATAAATTGAGATAAACGAAAAGAAGGCATGCTTTATAGGAGTGTAAAAAGTGAGTGTTCAAAAAAGGAATGGGAAAGAGGCAATAATAGGTAGTCAGTAAACCGTATATGTGTAAATCCATGAAAGTAGTCAGTAGTGTAGTGTATATATGAGCTTCGACTGGTGGCTCATTGTAGTAGTAGATCGATGTGGCTACTGCTATTTGCAGCCTGCATGCTAGCTAGCTGCTTTAATTTGTGGCTCTGCTTCAAGTACCCTCATGCATGTAATGAGTGTTAATACTCTCAGTAAAACTTAGGGCTACTCAAGCTTTTTTTTTGGTACTCGCTTGATGTTGGATATTCACATTGAATCTCATAAAATCTTAATAGTTCAATTGATTAGCTATACAAACTTCACTATATCTAGCGATACTTGTGACTCTAATAAAAGTAGAAGGAATTATTATTTCAAATTCATTGTCTTTTCCTCATTCACACAAAGTCCCTAACCCTCGCTCCTTGACTATCCTTATAACCTTGCCACCATTGAACCCTACTTTTTATCCATCTCATCCCTATAAAGATTTTTACTAGATTATATATAATATTTTTTGGGTTCAATTCCACTAGATATGTGCCATCTCACAAAAATCCATATTTTAAATTGTTAAATGTTAATTAGACAACTTCTTGAAGAATCTTTATTGACCACTAGACCACATTTGATATTTAAAAAAAACACAAATTCATATCTAAAATGGTTAAATGTTGATCAAACAACTTCTTTCAATAACAACCTTTCTACCTAAGATTCCAGTAATTACCACTAGAGCACATCCGATATTTAAGAAAAACACAAATCCTTATTTAAAATCGTTAAATGTTGATCAGACAACTTCTTTCGAAAACAGTTTTTCTACCTAAGATCCAAGTAATGAAAAAAAAAAAAACGTGGACGGCAGGATTCGAACCTGCGCGGGCAGAGCCCACATGATTTCTAGTCATGCCCGATAACCACTCCGGCACGTCCACCTCATGCTTCTACACGAACCTTTTGTCACTAATCAACAGTTAATCAATTATTCCCCTTCTAGATTCTCTCTTATTCCTTCTTCTTCTTCTTCGAAATCATCATCAAATAGAGCAGTTCTCGCTTCCATAGCGATAAACAAGCATCAAATCAAACAAACAAAATCAATACAAAAAAAAAGGTCAACTCCCATAAGAATGCAGCAACAACCCCCACCCCCCACCCCCGATTCCGATCTCCCCCGTCTCGCTAACATCAAAATCAAATCATCTTCTCCACGTTTTCCCCCACCCACCACCCCTTCCACCACTGATACCCCTACCGCCGGAGCTCAGCGGAGGATCGGAATAGCTGTCGATCTAAGCGACGAGTCTGCTTTCGCTGTTAAGTGGGCTGTAAATCAGTACCTCCGTCCTGGTGACGCTGTTATCCTTGTTCACGTCCGTCCAACTTCCGTACTCTACGGTGCTGATTGGGGATCTGTTGATCTATCTATTGTTGATACTGAGAATGAGGAGAGTCAGAGGAAGCTTGAGGATGAATTCGATACGTTTACTACTACTAAAGCGGCTGATCTAGCTCAGCCTTTGGTTGATGCTCAGATTCCGTTTAAGATCCATATTGTTAAGGATCATGATATGAGGGAGAGGTTGTGTCTTGAGGTTGAGAGGTTAGGGCTTAGTGCTGTTATTATGGGGAGTCGAGGATTTGGAGCTACTAAGAGGGGAAGTGATGGAAGACTTGGGAGTGTTAGTGATTATTGTGTTAGGCACTGTGTTTGTCCTGTTGTGGTTGTTAGGTATCCCGATGATAAGGATGGTGGAAATGCTGTTGTAGAGCCGGTGGTTTCTGTTGCTTCAGCTGCTGAAGAAGATGAGGAGGAAGCAGAGTATCATGATGCTTCTGAGGATCGAAAAGGTATGCCGATTGTTACTATTTTTCATTTTATGTTTCTCCGTAAGCATTTTTCTTTGTGCTCTTTATTTCGTTTATTTGGATTATGGAATGTTGTTCTTTATGCTTATTTCTTCATTATTAAGTCTTTTATTATGTTTCTGATGATCTTCATGTATAATAGCAATCACTTAATGTCGTGCTTCCTTGATAATTTTCTCCTTTCACAGTAACTCTGTTCCTAATGGAACAATCAGGTTGGAGTACAAGGGCTGATTTCTTGTTAATTTTCTGCTTGATATCAGACATTGTTTGATCTATCTTTTTGATGATAAAATTTAGTACTGTAGAGTTAAGTTCAACTACGTAGGAGTAATATCAATTGAGAAGTTGAAAGGAAGTAAGTGGGGATACTGAATTCAAAATTCAGCATTCCTCCTTCCTACATTCTAACTGAAAAAAATGAAGTCTTTGCCTCCCCGACCATTGCTAGTTCCTCCATCCTCCTAAGCTTTTCTACTACATTGTCATCCCCATCTTTCAATAGGTTTAGTTTATGTTTCTGTTCCTGTTATTTGCCTTGATTGACAAAAATAACCGGTTCTATTTTGGCATGTCGCAGTCTGTTTCTTTTAGTATATAAGGATGACCTTAATGCTTTTATGATTCATAGACTTGATTTCCTGAAATCTGATTTCCGTAATAATTTGGGGAAAAATGTAATTTGGTCATGATTGTTTTCTCTGTTATTGACATCATACCTAAGAACCCTAGGTACAAAAATTATCTGAAATGCGAAAAGGAATTACTTTGGGATAGTCATGTACCTAGTTCTGAGAGAATTAACACGGGGTAAGCGTGTTTTAGAATAACAGTCACATGTGTTTAATCCTAAAGTTAATCCTCTTTTAGATCCAAATGTCCTGTTGTAGTAATTTAGTGTTTAAGCTCAACTTAAGGTTGGACTTATGGGTTGAAAGTCCAAAAAGATAAAAATGGTTGGAGTTATGGGTTATCTTGAATTAACCAATTCCTTACCCAAGATATCTAGGTGAAGGCGTGCAATGTTGTTTCGTCACATATTTCATTGGTTTGTTACCTAACCATGACTATAGGTTTTCTCTGAAGGGGATTACCATCTTTCAATGAGTGAACTGGACGTAAATCTGATTCTAGTAATAAAAGAAGAAGAGAAAGGAAAAAAAGAAGAAGGGTGAAGTTGTGATAGATTAGATGCCAAGTCCAAAGCCGCTTCTTTAAATTTGTCGTCTATCAAGCGACATGTATGCTTGAATTTGGCATTTCCAAGTGTGCAAAATCCAAGGCCATCTTTTTAATGATTTGGCTCTACTCTAGTCTTCTAGATGCTGTTCTTTTTATCATCCACATGCTTATCATGGAACTATTAACTTACCTTAAGATTAGTTGGGAAAGAGAAAGTGTACATAAAGAGTGTTTTGGTTCCGGGTGATGAAAAGATAGACAACCCTATGGTGCATGTGCTTGTTAAGCCAGAAAGATCTCCTGTAAGCATGGAAAGTGGTGTAGACATTTTGAGGCTATTATTATCCATCAGATTAAGTTTACTTGCACAGAAACACTGACAATTTTGATAGGAAGCAGGTTTCAGTTCTTTTAAGAATGCAGTACTGATTCAGGAAGATGTGGTTTCTTTTGGTTGATCCCTTTTCAGGTTTTAGTCAAGGAGTTAATGAAATACGATGAATGGTTTTGCATATCCTTGATGCCAGTAATGAATATATCTAACTTCATCAGAAAAAGAAAGAAATGAAATGAATGGGACCAATATGTGTCATATTTACTCACATTTTATATAATTTTAACTTCTTCAAGTGATGGCAAGTATGGAAGTTGCACTGGCCCTTTTCCAAGGATAGTTACTTGTTTGACTATTTATGATGCAGTTGCATAGATTTAAGGAAATAAGTTTGTGTCACATTGAAAGCAATTGCCCATTTACCTTTCTGAAGTTTATTCTTGTATGTAGTAGAGTTGACACAAGAGAGAACAGTTGAAGGATGTTATTTAAATCTCCAAAACTTGCATTAATTTCTGAATTATAAGGAATTTGTTTTCCTAGAGAAAGTGTTTTTCAAAATATTTTGACCAACCAAACAGGGGAAAAACACACCATCAATGAGTATGTGAGATTCCGTTAAGAAATGAAATTGTCGTGCAGATAGTTGCAACCTGGCTGA